CTCTTTACGACACTATAAGCAAATAAGCCCTAAATAGAGCTAAGAGCAGGAGGCGATCAACCATTAAATTAGGCATGCAAAACTGATTTAATTAGGTTCTAGACTTAGAGTGCGTTCTATTTCATTTCAATTGTATGTATAGGCTTTTCTATGTAACATTGGGGTTACTGGGATAGTAAATTAAAATATTGTATAATTCTCTTGTAGATATGTGAACCATGAACTTGGGGTTACTGGGATAGTATATTAAAACATTGCGGGGGTTTTGCTTTTCAGCCTGTTGGGGGCCTTTTTATTCGCTTTTCTATGTGAGCGTGGCTTGCGTAGTGTGTGTCAACTGTAGACAAAAGCGGAGGCACGTAGTAGTCAGGGAAGGCTAGGGGAAAATTACAAGTGTGCGGGGGCCACAGGTAGGCGTCCGAGGATTGGAAATTTGGAATCAGTCAAAAGGACAGGCATACATTATGGAGGAGAGAAGAGAGATGCCACCGACCGGCTCTGCACAAGACCCGTGATCTACGAGCCTGATGAGGAGAGGAGTGTAGTTTACTACTCCCAAGCCTCTCATTTACATTACTTGATCGATTGCATTGCTTATCAATTTTAAAAATAAAACTACACTGGTTATGGTTGCGAGGACAATTTTGACCGTGTCGGTTTACTCATATATAATGCCATGTAGCAAAATTAAAAGAAAAGTTTACTCATATAACAACCCACGAAAGCTTGACAGAAATAGGGTCACTACATATACGTACTGTACTCCCAACCAAAACTTATTACCAAACAACTTTATTTTTACACCTATTGCTGCAACAACATTTCGGCTCTGATATAAGTTCCCTCCCTCCTCCACTACCCCTTTTATTAGTGAGCACCATAACCTTCAGTGCATCTGTGGTCAGGGATGGCAGCACCCAGATGGAGTAAATTAATACCCGTCCACAACAAATTGTCTATCTATATATATATATATATATATATATATATATATATATATATATATATATATAACCGTGGGGTAACAAGTACCTACACCTGCAAGTTATTAAATTATTAATAGAATAGATGAAATTTTGTGTAAGTTAACTAGGGATGAAAACGGTCCGTTATTGTTCGAACTTTAGCAATTTTTAGACTACTCGATTATTTTCAGTTTTCTAGAGTAAGTAATCAATCACTTCGACCACCCCAAGTTTTGCACAACAAGAAATTGAATGCTCATACAAAACAAACAAAGGGTTGGTGACAGGAGCACACACACCTGGATAGCTAGGGATATGGAAAAATCCTCCTCCTCCTCTCTTTCTCTCCTCCTCCTCCGGCAGCTGGCCTTGGTGGGAGGCTTTGGGGGCGCTGGCAGGGGCTTGTGCTGGGCCTGGTGGCTGGTGTGTGTGTGTGTGTGTGTGTGTGTGTGGGCCGGCCTGGCCAGTGAGGTTAAATCCCCTTTTGAGTGCCCCGATCGGCACTCGGCAAAGGTTTTTAATCCACAATTCTTTGCGAGTGCCACCCGGCTGGCACTTTCGGCAAAGAGGGTTTTTAAAAAAAATTTAAAATTCTTTTTGCGAGTGCATTTGTCTTGGCACTTTCGGCAAAAACTGATTCTTAGAGTGTCATTTTTGACACTCGGCAAACCATTTTTTTCATTTTGACCTCAAACTTTTTACTGCGGTCCTCATACAATACACAGTGCTCCATGTTCCAATGTGCCATATTTCTCAGACTTTTTCTATATTTCTTTAATTTATTTCATTTAATTGAATTTTCTTGGATAATTCAAATTATAACTGCTAGTCATTCGAATAATGAAAAAATGAATGGAAAAATGATATTCATGTTATTTACTATAATGTGAGGCCGTATACAGGACCAGACCACCAATTTCGAACATCTTGTTCCCGAAACATGACCACGAACTTGCGGTCGAGTTGTTTTTAAATTCTATAAAAAGCAAACGAAGTCCGAAAATCATGAAACATGTCAAGATATCATGTGGAGGCTGTGATAAAAAATTGAGGAGGTTTCGCGCAAGTTTGTCACGTACGATGCTTACCACCTCGTCGGCCTCTTCACGAAATCATGAAACTTCTTCGGAGATTCTTCGGTTTGCCAGCATCGTACATGACAACTTGCGTGAAACCTTCTAAAATTTTTATCACAGCCTCCACATATGATATCATGGCATCTTGACAAGTTTCATAATTTTCGGACTTCGTTTGTTTTTTATAGAATTTAAAAACAACTCGACCGCAAGTTCGTGGTCATGTTTCGTGAACAAAATATTCGAAATTGGTGGTCTGGTCCTGGATAGGGCCTCACATTATACTAAATAACATGAATATTATTTTTCTATTCATTTTTTTCATTATTCAAATGACTAGCAGTTATAATTTGAATTATCCAAAAAAATTCAATTAAATGAAATAAATTAAAGAAATATAGAAAAAGTCCGAGAAATTGCCACATTGGAACATGGAGCACCAAGTATTGTATGAGGACCGCAGAAAAAGTTTGGAGGTCAAAAGTAAAAAAAAGAATATGGTTTGCCGAGTGTCAAAAAATGACACTAAAAATCTTCCCGCTTGCCGAATGCCAAGACGGTGGCACTCGGCAAATCACCACTGCAAAAGGGCTGGCGTGTGCCGGCCGTTAGCAGTGGCGGCCCTTTCTTTGAGTGTGTCGAGAGAATAACACTCGGCAAAGCCAGTTTTACCGAGTGTTATTGTTTGCCGAGTGCTCAGCACTCGACAAACCACCTCTTTGCCGAGTGTCAGTTGTTTGCCGAGTGCTTTGTCTCTGGCACTTGGTAAACATCCTCTTTGCCGAGTGCCCGATAAAAAGCATTCGACAAAGTGTGGGACACTCGGCAAAGAAGCCGTTTCAAGTAGTGATATGGAATTATTAGTGACCGAAGGTCTGAGCGAAAATTTTTACCGACCGACTGTTTAGCGGTAATCGTCAACTTTTAGCGACCAATGTCAGACTGTGTTTTGGTGTTGTTGTGTAGTGGTAGCACCCACTATCCACGATCTGTTACCTCAATACCAATCTTCTACCGGCCTGCTATACTCTATTTAGTACCTTGGCGAAGAGACAGAACTTTGTGACAACCTGATCTATTCGATATTGAGGAAAATGAGATAACATGACGATTTTAAATACGGAGAAGGAAAAATTTAGATATATAGCATGTTGTATTCTTCTACTTTTTTATGAATTTTCTATTTTAGAAATGACTAGATAATATAATTTAGAGCGTCTCAAAGAGTTCTTCTAAACTTAAGTCCCTTAAATCCTCGTATAGGGTACATTTGAGAGTTAAAAATTTTTGACTTCTCAAAAAGTGAGAATGACACTCTTTATAGGACTAAGAGTACTAGACCTTAATTTTAGCCGAAAACTCTAGAAGATGCTCATCTTAGCATATCTTTTTAAATGGACTCTTAGAGTTGCTCTTATGCAACCCGCACGTTGGGCCTTCGCTCACGGGTGCCCCCTTCGTGGCCCGTGGCCCTCTGGTGTTGATGTGGCCGAAGGTGTGGTGCCGACAGATTAATGCTTGACTGCAGCGGTTAAAGGTTTAGAACGAAGTCAGTTAATTACCAGAGCCCTGCGATCTTATCATATTCTTGTGTGTGTGTGGGGGGGGGGGGGGGACTTGATCTTACAGACTGAATACAGGTGGATGTAGTTGATTGTTCGTCGATGAACAAATTTATTTACTAACGGTTCCACACAGTTCGACTTGGAAGCCCAAATGCAACTCCACAATGACGGATCGTACGACAATTGATTTTCCAGACTACAGACCTGCAGCATCGTGCAAAACTGGAGACGGGCAGTTGCTGGACTCTAGTTATTTCGACCTCAACTGATGCTTCGTCACGCACCGTGCAGTTGCGCCGATCACGCATGCCTAGTCGATCGATCGCAGCCGGCCGGGCTCCGTCACGCTGACAGCGAAAAACTCGCTAGCTAGCGAGTGAGAGCATGGGCATGGCGCCGTTCCGTCCACGAACCGAGCCGGCCACACTTCTAATCTAGGCAGCTGGTGAAGGACAAGCACATGTGCGCTTGCTTCCTACCGCCATGTGACTCACGTCCGGCCGCGTCCTCGATCTGTGTAGGTTGAGCAGCCGAGCAGGACCTTTCTCGCACGGAGGAGGCGACATCACACGTTCATCTCCGATCAGAGAAGTCATGATGTGGTCACTGAATAGTTAATGGCGACATGTTCACTGCTACAGAAAAAGGATTTTAGAGGCATTACCTGATTAATAAAGGCAGATATTTTTAGAAGCCACCACTGTAAATGGCCAGCGTGTCTCATGCAAATGCTCGCCTCTTTTTTTTTTGGGGGGCACAAAATGCTCATCTCTATCAACCATTTAAAGAGATAGGGAACCTTGAAGGGACCACCTCTGCTAATCGACCATTGATAGATGTGTCGTCTTGGTATATTTCTCTCTATTAATCGATTGGCAGTTCAGTCTATAGAAATCGATTAACAGAGCCAACATTTTAAGAAGCCTGCCTTTAGAAATAGTTGCATAAAAATAGCCCATAACTTCTTTTATACGAAGTTCTATGAAGATAAACTTTATATCAAAATTATAGAGACCGGCACGATTCACAACTTTGCAATTGGCAAGTTTTTATTGAAACCGTTTCGGGTCCCAAAATTTTGTTTCAATCTATTAAAATTTGAAATTTAATTTTAGAATTTTAGAATAGTCTTAGTCTCAGATGTTGACATAGTTGAAGAGACCGTGAGGCCTAAGAGAGAAGGCGAATTAGACGTGGTAGTGACTTACCTTGTCATTTAATTTCCTATCTCCTCTCCCGCCCTCTCTCTGGATTATTATTTCTGCCACATTCCTGCCGGCCTCCACACTATATAATGCCGGGCCTCCTAACATGATCACATATCCTTGTGGTGTGGGTTTCCTCTAGAAAACTCTGCGTCCGATGGCAGCTGAGAAGGTGAAAGGGACGGTGAAATGGTTCAACGAAGAGAAGGGTTCGGGTTCATCACCGGCGACGCCGACGCCAAGGACTACTTCGTTCACTTCTCCTCCATCAAGACCACCGGCTTTAGCGCCCTCTCCGAGGGCCAGCGTGTGGAGTTCACTGCCGCCTCCGGGGATGATGGCAAGCCCCTGGCCCTTGATGTCACCGTCCTCGCCGGCGACGACGGTGAGGCTTCAAGTAGGCGAGTAGCCAGTCCTAAGCTTTTCTTCTTGTGTTCTGTGGCCTTGTGTCTATGATGTCTTCTGTATGAATTTATGAAATAATGTGGCGGTCTATATGTCATCGTATCGTGTCATATTTGTAGTCTATACATGTGTGTATTATTTGAATATAAATGAGTCTTAATATCTTGTGAGGAACGTGCATGCTGCATACATGTCTCCGATCCAACTCTGCACCACGCATAAAGAAGCAACGGCACTCTGCCACTGTGGCAGGTGCTTGGGAGATGGAGAAGTTGGCAAAAGTCAAGAAGCAGTAAGCGCAGCGGTGATCAGTTTGTTGTTACGCTCGATCGTTTGGTACAGTACTTATTTGGAGGAAAATTCAAATGCTTTTATTCAATCTGCGATAATTTTCACTACTACATGAATGATTTCTAGGGGTAGCTGGTGAGGCTTTATAGAGGTGGCTCGCCCAGCCGCCCCTACCATATCGTCTCTACAAATCATACATTTATAGAAGCGGTTCCCAGACCGTCCCTACAAATCGATTTGTAGCGATACCTATTTGTAGGGGCGGTTCAGTCTAGAACTACGTCTACAGTATATTTTTTCGTCAAAAAAAATTCAAATTTACAATTTAAATTCGACTAGAAAACACACACATATATATAAGCATATATAATTTAAATCTGACCAGAACATATATAATTTAAATCTGTCCACAAGCACAAGAGCATTATATAAACTACCATCACAAGTCCAATTCACAAGAATATATACAATCCATCATTAAATAGACATAATTCACAAGTCTAATTCGTTCCACAAGTTCAAACCGTCCCATAAGGTAAGACCAATATCAAATTTCATACACATTGTTATCAACGGCCTAGAGCTAGCCTTTCAGTCTCCCGGATGTGTTGGTACTGAGGATTTCTACCTAAGTCAGAATCTCGGTCATGGTAGGTGCCTTTGATGTATACAATCTAGTTCAATATGAAGTTGCAAAGGTCGCCGACGAGCTCTAAGAATTGGTCATCCTTGTATGGGTTTCTTTTCATTTCTTTCTCTTCTTTCCACTATAAGAGAACAAGTTTCGGTTTAGTATTTCATATCATATGCGAAGTTTTTATACTACGAGTGAAGAGGTTCAAACTTACCCTTAAGGGGTGCTCCTGTAGGCACCGATGTTACTCATCATAGAATATACATAGTATCCACAATGTACACTCCCAGGCTTTTGCTTGGGACACTGTGTGTTTTGCATATAGAAATGTTAAGTAATGCTTTTGACAGCCATGTAATGGAGTGCTAAAGTAAGTTACACTTACAGCACATAGGCCCCGTTCGGTTCGCTGAAAAAACAAGCCGAAATATTGTTCCGGGTGATTTGTTGTGAGAGAAAAACATTGTTCCGGCTGAAAAAATAAGCTAAAAAGACAGATTATAAGAGAAGTGAACAGGGCCATAGTGTTTTTATAGCCAGCCTTTCCTTTCTTCTGGATCGTGCCTTACTGTGATGTTCAACGACATAGAAGAATACGAATGTCTGTTCGAATTATTTTAGCAAATACAACTTGTTAGTATTCAAAAGTGAGCGTTACAAGTATGTATACAAACATATAAGCTAATGAGGATTGTCGATATGTATACGTCTTGAGAATCGATATGAAGTCTTTGTATGTCCTTTGGGTCCCTATCTATTGAATCAAAGACCCATGCCATGCTCCTCCGACATCAACGCCTAAACAAATCCGATGAGTTCTTTGCATAAATTTAATCATAGAACTAGATAAGCTCTTTTGTATCAAATAAAATATATCGAACAAAGCTTTAAGTATAGAGTTGAACTTACTCGAAGTTGTATGGTAGCCATATAGTAGAGTCTTTGTTGGAGATTTTTAAAAGCGAGGACAATGTATGCGAAACCTTAAGAGACTCTTGCCTTAGTTTCTTATACGGATATCCTCTTTGTCCCGAAGCGTCTTTTCAGCAGCTAGCTCTTTGGCATCCAGTTTCCACTGTCTAGGGTAACTAAAATTTGTTTGTACTATAGCTTAAGCGTCTATATACCCAGCTTTCACACTTGGCATTTGTTTTACAATGTGCACTTATATTCTACAAATCATGGCGTGGGTTAGTTACAATAAAATCCAAAGATTACATTCATATCATATCGGGAGGCAAGGACTTACAAGCACCACGTGCAAATTAGATTCATTTCTATTGCTCGAGGTGAAAGCATGTACGCATGTTATTGAAGTCAAAGATAATTTTTAAATTTGGGCTTCCAAATGTGCGGTGAGGAAGCATCTTGTCTGAGGTCTATGCTCGTTAGGAGAACAACATAAGTACCAATCATGGAACCTTGTCATTTCAAGTGGCGGTATTTGGATGTCGGTTTGGTAGAAAGGGCTTGCCTCTTTCATATGTTTTCGGGCAATCCCTTGACCATTTGATGGCATCAATATTTGGATACTTCTTTCTTTGTTTGGTGGACTTTTCTAGTGATGGCCTCCTCGAAGCCTATGTTGGGACTTTTTAACTTGGTTCTCGAGGCTTGGCTGGTCATGAGCATACCACTTGTGCACCGATGAGGGCGTCTTTCTTGAACATAAATTGGCCTTACGGTGATTGGATGCTTCTTTCAAAGTTTCCATTCAGGCACGTCCCCATCTTCTTGTGCATCACCTTCTTTAGGAGGCACTCATTGTTCATGTATCGGCTGTGCTTATTGAGAAGACTATGGCATCTCATCTTGCACTTGCTCGGTACAAGCTGGAGAAGGTTGTGGCTTATCAGGCACATGCTCACTAGGAGACGGGGAAGAATCTGGCATCTCAGGAATATGGTGGTCACGAGACGGTGAAAATATCTTCTCGTCCTCAACAACTCGCTCCAAATTTGAGAGAGGGGAGGCGGTGAAAAGCGATCAATATAATGTCTTATTTGTGCAGAGGTGAAGGCCCCATTATGTCTCCGAGTAACACCAGCCCCTCAGGAGTTGTGTTGTCTATCCTCCACTGCATGAACTCGGGCTTCACGGTATGCACCTCGACCCAAGTGTAGTACGATGGTATCTTATTATTATGGTGTAAGCCACGGGAGGATGTGCCACACCGTTGCCGCCTCCATCACAATGTTACTGCGGCCATTTGAGAAACATCAAGGTGCAACTAGTTGGTTCCGTGTGCGATCGATGGGGGTTGTGGTTGTAGTGGAACCTTAGCTGCTAGAAACTTAGGAGGACTGCCAACTAATGCTAGTTCTTTCGGTGGCGCCATTAATGTCCGTGGCTCCGTAGACAGTCCTTGTTTCTCCAGCACCTTCGCAACTAGAGCCTTCACTTGAAGCTCAAGATTAGCCTCCCGGTCTCTGTCATGTTTCTTGTACATGTGCCTGTTCTCTTCGAATTCGTGCTTCCAGGTCATCCTTTTCCCTAGCCCCCTGGTGTGGCCTGTGTGCTCGTTGTTTCCCAAGCCAAGGCTAAGCTCGTCCCTCTCTCTGGAAAGATTGAATGAGTCATTCTCCTTGTCTTCAGCATATTTCAGTATCCTTGATACTGCCTCTTGGGTCTCTAGCTTATCAAACTTAAGATTACCGCCGGATGATTACATACTCCTCACATATATCCAACTCCTTGAGCATACCTTCAAATTCTTCACATCGACATTCCCAGAAGTTGCGGCCTCTTCGTCCATCTTCCTAAACTACTCTTCCTTGGCATAGTAGCCATCGGGGCCTAGATGATGGTGGTGTTTATTCCTCTTCGCCCATTTCGATGTTATAGGCCTTTGAGCTCCGATGCCTCCGTTGAAGTCTTCTGAGCCACGAGCTCCTCCCATTGACTAGGAGTTATGTTGCTGAACTCGTTGAGGGGAGTTAACCCCTTTTGGATATACTTCTTGTTGAGCTCCGACCTCCAACGTTGGAATGACTCTCCCATGATCTTGAAAGCATTTTTTTACCAGTTCTTGCTTACCCTCCGGAAATCTAAAATTCAGCTTTAGCTGCTTATCCCATAGTTCATCCTTTTTTTCTCTGGTACCTCTTTCCAGTTAGGGATTGCTAGATTCAATTTATCTCTTACTAGGGCCCCAATCGCATTACAGAATCGTCCTCTGAATTCCTTCGCCTCAAGGATCTCCCCTGCTAGCCCGACCTCAGTTATCACATAGCATGCCTTATCTAGATATTGGTTTGCTTTTCTATCGTCTCGTTTCCTCTTTGGCATGGTAGTCGTGTTCGTGGTTGTGTCTTGAGGTTGTGGACGAGAGGCCTCAATAATAAAATCTCGTATGTACATTGCCTCCGCTCTCCTTTTCTCTACTCCTTGTCAAAGCAAGATGTCGCGGACGTCGGCGTCGTCGTAAATCTTTCGAGTTTCGGGGAGGGACCTATATATCTGTTGGTCAAAGTGTTAGCGAGAGGTAACATGACAAGTTTTAGCAAAATTTACAAGCTAAGGCTTTATCCCTACCTCCTCGTTCGGGTCAAAATCCTTGTCCAAATCTTCCTCCGTTGGCCTCCTTACGGCTTCACGTGGAAAAGGATCCTCGAGACTTACTAAAAGGTCCTAATGGCTAGAGGGGATGAATAGCCTATTAAAACTTCTACAACAATACTTAACAAACCGGTTAGACAAATATGAGGCAAAGCGAGTGTTTAGCTAGCCTACTAAAATGTAAGCCACCTACCATAATTCTAGTTTCTATAGTTTCTAACCACACAATGACTATGTCACTATACTAAGTTAGTGTGCTCTCAAAGGCTAACTAAAGAGCCACACTAATCAAACTAATAAGCTCTCACAACTAGCTTCGCTAAAGAGTTTGATAACTAGTTTGTGGTAATATAAATAGAGTGTAAGCGGGATGGTTATACCGCCCGAGTCGATGAGTGAACCAATCAATCACAAGAATGAATATCAATGAAGACCAATTACCTCGAAATCAAATGATGACACAATGATTTTTTACGAGGTTCACTTGCTTGTCGACAAGCTAGTCCTCGTTGTGGCAATTCACTCACTTGGAGGTTCACGCGTTAATTGGCATCATCGCTAAACCCTCAATAGGGTGGCGCTTTAACCAACACAAGATGAGAATCACACAAGCCATGAGCAATTCACTAGAGTACCTTTTGGCTCTCCACGGGAAAGGTCAAGAACCCTCACAATCACCACGATCGAGGCGGAGGCAGGTCACCAACCTCCGCTCGGCGATCCTCGCTGCTGCTCAAGCCGTCTAGGTGGCGGCAACCACCAAGAGTAACAAGCGAATCCTCTGGTGAAACACGAACACCAAGTGCCTCTAGA